ATGTTGTCTTCAATTCTCTCCCTCTACTTCCTAAATGGCCGCTCTATACCTTTCTTTATGTCTGTACTAGAGTTCATCTGTCTTAGTCAGTGTTCTATTGCTGTGAGGAGACACCATGACCATGATGACTCTTCTCTATAAAAGAAAGCATTGAATAGGGGATTGCTTACAGTTTCAGAGGTTTAGTTCATCTCCATCATGGTGGGGAGCACGGCGGCACACAGGCAGACAAGGTGCTGGAGAAGTAGCTGAGAATTCCACATCCAGATCAGCAGGCAGCAGAAAGAGGGAGCCACTGGGCCTGGTTTGGGCTTTTGGAAACCTCAAAGCCCACCCTCCACACCCTCTAGTGACACACTTCTTCCAACAAAGCCACACCAAATAATTCTTTCAAATAGTGCTACTCCCTGGTGACCAAACATTCAAATATATGAGCCTATGGGAGCCATACTTATTCAAACCACCACAATCTGTAAAATGAAATTGCTGATTTAGGTCTTCTTACTAACAGTCATTTACTATAACTTACATAAGTTTAAGCTTCATTTTTTTATTCTCAGTGGATTTGGTTGGGCAAATAGGCATAGAAATACTGAAACATCATCATGCCAGACTAGTAAATTTTCTGCATAGCTCAAATATAATCTATGAGGGATCAAACTACGCCAAACAGATTTAAAGACAATTTGAATACAAATACATTAATTTTCTTAAAACTATGTAGGGTTAGTAATTCATAAAATATGTTGAGACTAATGGAAACTGATTATGACATGAAAGGATAAATATAAATAACAAAATATTAATAATAATACAGACAATATCGTCCACAGTACTATAATGAACCTACCCTTAAGCTATGATGATAGAACTTTATTTTTAGCCTTTAATCCCAGCACTCCAGCCTGGGCTACAGAGTGAGTTCCAGGGAAGGCACAAAGCTACAAAGAGAAAGCCTGTCTCCAAAAACAAACAAAAAAAGAACTTTATTTTTAAATGTTACTTAAAGTATGTATGTAAATGTCTATATAAATATATAATAACAAAACTATGTATTTGGAGGCAAATTGGGGGTGTTATTCCCATTTTTCTTCAGTTAGAGCAGGGATGCATGGTTGGGCAGGACACCCAGGCAGCTTGACAGGGCTACCTGAATGTAAAGGTTGCAGCTACCTCATAGGAAGCAGTTTCCTATGCTACCCACAAACTACCTTCAGAACCAACTTGCCAAAGTATTTGAAAAACTCATTTCTGAGTTCTCAAACACTATGAAAGAACCTTAGGCATCTTTTCCTTCCTTGCACTTTCAATAAAGTATTCTACAAAGGATATAGGATTTTGAAGTCAGGTCTGGATATTATAGCAGATCCATCATTTACTAATTGTGACTACTGACTGAATGATTATTTTTGAGACAGGGCCTTACATAACCCAGGCTGGTCTTAAATTCCCTATATGGCCCAGGATGGCCTTGAAACATGTGGTTGATGCAATCAGGAGGAATGAACCACGGACCTGGGCATGCGAGGCAGCACTGTGCCTACTGGGCTGCAGCCTGAGCCCCGACTGCAACCCTTTAACGGCCATGACACTCCTTTGTGACACTTCATCTACACAGATTTTTTTTAAATCTGTCTTATGACCACGAAGAGACAATGCACACAACTCTAGTAATCAGAGAAATACTGGTGATTCTGAGGCAAACTGAAGTTTGACAATGACTGATTGTTAAGTATATCAGGGTAGAAAGCAAAACATTTTAAGACAGAAATAGTCAGGAATGCTCAAATTTTCTCTGGAGTATAATTTATTTTCTACCTCTTAGAAACTTGATTATAAAGGCAAGCACTGGTGGTGCATACATTTAACCCCAGCACTTGGGAGGCAGAGGCAGGAGGATTTCTGTGAGTTTGAGCCCAGCCTGGTCTATAGAGAGTTCTAGGACAGTCAGAAATACACAGAAAAACCCTGTCTCAACCTCCTCTGGAGCATCCAGAAGTTAGGCATGTCTATATATAACTAAGTAACTGAGTATTACGTATTGTTATATAAAGATAGTATATGATACACAAAATACATAAATCTATGCACTTAAAACTGAGATCAAATTTTATGGTAGTGAAAAACGTAATGATTTGCAATTATAAAAACTTTGCTATATTTTTTATCTCATCTTTACTTGCTGAATAAGCTAAGCAGAAATCACACTAGGAATCATTCCATTTTATAGATAAGGAAATTAAAGCTTAAATTGTCTTTTTCTTAAGGAACTGAAGCTAATGAGTAGCTACAGTTGAAGATGGAATGCAAAATTACCAACAGGAGAATTTTGCTGAATGACTGTGTTTTTAGAAAAAAATTAAAATATTCACAGATATTTTTATTCTAAATTAAAAATACAGGCATACTAATTATTTTTATAGACATCTTTTGTATGACTTCAATAAGTAGCATATAACTTAAGGGTAAGAGTACAAAATCTATGCACTTCTTCATATTTCTAAGTGTATAAAGTCTGGAGAAAATAAGTCCTTAAGGACAAAATATGCAGCGCTAAAATGAATATAGCAAAGAAAATAACAAACAGAAGGTAGTGAAACAAGAATACAACATAAAGAAATGCCTAGGAAATACACAAAGAGTCCCTGAAACAGATAAAGGTACTACTTCTGTACTAGATTAGACGGGCTCTTCTGTCATACCAGTTACTCAAGAGTACTGTAACAAGTATGCTTGACTTTTGACAATACACTAGGAATGTTCCAGCAAGAACATAGCTAGCAACAGTTGACTCAGCAGAGAGTTGTTCCTAATCTTAGAACACTTAGCCTCACTTGTTCTGACATTTCTTCTTCTAGTACAATCACCTGCACTGGCTCCAAGAACTTCCTACACTGCACTAAAAGGGTTACAGAGATTATTCTGTTATGCAGGTAATTTCAGGCCAGACTATCTCAAAAATAAACAAATTTTTAAAAAGAAACAAATAATATTTACTAGAAGCCATTCTCAATGTATTTTGAAGACGTTTTTTAGATTAAAACTTCATGAGGCTGGAGAGATGGCTCAGAGGTTAAGAGCACTAGCTGCTCTTCCAGAGGTCCTGAGTTCAATTCCCAGCAACCACCTGGTGGCTTACAGCCATCTAAGTGGGATTCAATGCCTTCTTCTGGTGTGCAGGCATACATGCAGACAGAGCACTCGTGTACATATATATACACACACACACACACACACACACACACACACACACACACACATATATATATACATACACACATATATATTTTAAGAATTTACAAATAAAAAAGCACCATGAAGTGAAATTAAATAGATCCAAAGTCCAAAGAAGATTTTACAGTATAGACAAATTAGTGTTTATGATTCCACAGACTATATGTCCTGTAGGATCTAACATCTTTTGTTCAAATTGTAAAAACAATACATATCAGTAAAATTCACACCCAAAGAAGTTGGGTTTCTTTAAGCTCATTTTCAGTTTATTGCCAATTTGCTATTAGCTTTTTTCCTACACAAGCATGAGTAATGTGAAAATAAATGAGACATAGTTTTCTAAACACTTATCAGCAAAAAACTTACTAAGTAAAATGGAGGGCCATTATTCAACAGAATACTATGACACCCTCTTTAGTACCAACATAGAATGATTTATAAGATTAAGTGCAAAATATAACGTGCTGAGGAATGTCATTTTATCTTCAAGAAATAAGAGTTCTCTAAGTATATATAATTACTGTTACATGCGGACTCTGATTCTAGAATGACAGATAAGAAACCAGTAATAGTAGCTGTATCCAGGGGAGAGGAAAGAGGAGTTTGAAGATTAAAGGCACAAGATTGGCCTTCCCAATCTGAAACTGAAACTACAATTGCCTTATAAAATTAAAAACCATATTATTTATCTCAGAAATAAAAAAGTTTTCACTGGCAGATTCTATATTGTACAGCAACCTCAAAATTTTTATCTTTAATAGTTGTTCTGGCTAATTTTTATTTCAACTTGACACAGGATAGAGTCATTTTGGAAGAGGGAACCACAATTGAGAAAATGCCCCATCACACTGACCTGTGGGCAAACCTGCAGTACATTTTCTTAATTAAGTCACTGATGTGGGAGGGGGATGTCATAGCTCACTGGTGGTGGTACACCTGAGCAGGTACTTCTGGGTTCTATAAAAAAGGCAGGCTGAGCAAGCCAGTAAGCAGCATTCCTTCATGACCTCTATATCAGCTCCTGCCTCCAGGTTCCTGTCTGCTTTTTTTCCATTATGAAATATGATGTGGACTCATAAGCAAATTAAGCCCTTTCCTCCTCAAGTTGATTTTAGTAATGGTGTCTCATCAAAGCAATAGAAACCCAAACTATAGCACTAGTATACATTAACTTACAAAATTATTTGCTTTAGAATGCCATTTTAATACTTATTGTCACAGTCATATTCATCTTTAATCATATTCATTTCCCCACTAGTGCTTCCTGCTCCAAATGGGTCCTCTTCTACTTGTATGGTTTCTTTGTTTTTTTTTTTTAATCTAGATTCCGCATACAAGGGAAAACATGTAGTATTTGTCGTTTCATAACTAATAAATTTGCAAGAATGTTCTTCTTTCCTGGTATTAAATTATCACTATATAATAAAATGAAATCAATTCCGACCACTTAGCAGTAGATGGTTAAGCTGCCTGGCTTCTACATGCTTTTATTTATAATAATTTAATAACAACAAAAACAAAAACCAATACAGCAAATCTCTATTGATATAAAGGTGCTTCCAAAATAGAACATCGGAGAAAAATTCTTCATGGCTTGATTACACTTGATTTTGTCATGTGTAGTACTCACTCCTAGTTGACTATCAAGACTCAGTAGCTCATCCTCCATTATTAAGACATACAGGTATATTTTATAAAATTAATCAATGTTTGAATGCATATACTTCTGCATGAAGAACAAGGCAGTAAGACGCACATATTCCTACCTTTAAAACTGTCTCACTGGTCAACAGTGCAACTTGCTTTTCTGAAGCTTGTTTCTCCACGTACCTAAAATTTTTATCATCCCATACAGAAAAGGGGAATATTAAGCAAATTTATATATTTGAATAGCATGTTAGGAAAAATAACTTAGACTTGTTTCCATACTTTTTCATTTCTTTTCAAAAATATATTAAATACACCAGTTCATAATTAACTTAATGATAACTAGTGAAGTCATAAAGGCCATATCCCAGAAATAGGAAATGTTATTTTTAAAAGATAACTCTAGAGAACTTACAAGTTATGTACAATATTAGTAAAAGTATTTTTATGTTAAAAATTTAAATCCAACATAGAAACTCCATCATCAAAAGCAAAATAGTTTTACACTGCAAAATAAATTATCATTTCATTCCTCACTTCAAAACCAACTGAAGCTAGCATCCTTCATTTATCCTAGTCTATAATATAAAATACACTAAATATGTACTCATCATTTTACCTCCGAAATGATGGAAGGCGACGGACATTTTCACATTGATTAACTGAGAAAAATTTTATTCTTCTCTTGGCTTCCGGGAGATCGCAGCACAGAACACTTAGGGGTTGCAAATAAAAATGTTCTAGTAGAGAAAGCTGAAAGAAATACGATAAATTTTTTCTAGTTTGGTAGTAAATATTTTGCCCTTTATCTTCTTAATTTTAACTCTTTTTAAAAGCAAAAGTATTTATGGTTGGGGCTGGAGAGATGCCTCAGTAATTAGGAATACTTGTTGCTCTTGAAGATAACCGAGGTTGGGCTACCAGCAACCAGAGGCAGTGACCATTTGCTACTTCAGTTCCAGAGAACTGGCCACTCTCTTCTTGCACAAACATACTTGTGGGAAAAACACCCATACACATAAAATAAAAATAAATATTTAAAAAAAATTATGTCACAACATTGCAAAAGTACTTCCAGACCTTTAATACTTTCAAGGCTACAATTCTGTGGACAAGGTCAGAAAAAGTACTCTGAGAAATACATATTAAAAGAAAACAACACAAATGGATATATTACTGCAGAAACCACTTAAAATGATTGCAAATGTAATAGGGATGAGACCAGCATATGATCTAAAGATCTAACAGATGTCTCATTACTCAAAAGACATCACCTGAAATTATACTACCTGATCTATCTGTTCAAATAAATATGATGCTGCCGTGGTAGCTGCTTTACCTACTGATGAGAGCAACAAAAATCTGTACCTACAAATTCAGTTTTATTCCATTAAAAAAAAAATACACTCACTACTAAAGAACTCAAACAATAGACCACTGTTGTCTCCATAGGAATGATTTTCCAAATTCTAATGTGATTTATTTAAAAACTCTAAAGTAATTTATAAAATGAAATATAACGATTGGGGATTTAGCTCTGTGGTAAAGCGCTTGCATACAAGGCCCTGGGTTCCGTCCTCAGCTCCGGGAAAAAAAAAGAAATATAAGATTATCAAATTTTGGGTTTTTTTTTTTTTATTTTATTTTAAACAAGCTTCTCAGGAATAATTTTGTTTATTCAGATAATCCTGTATCCTACTTTGCTTTCTCTAGCTATCATAAACATCATGACTAGAAGCAACTTAGGCAAGAAAGGGTTTATCTGGCTTCCATATCCCAACCACAGAACATTATTAAGGGAAGTCAGGGCAGTGACGCTATCACAAGCAGAGGTAGGAACCATGGAGAAATGGGGCTTACAGAGTTGCTTGGGCTCATGTTCAGCTACTTTTCTAAATATCCAATCGCAGGATGACCTGCCCAGAAGAGGCACCACTCACAGCCGGCTGGACTTTCTCCCATTAATCAACTATCAAGGAAATGCCACTATGACGTATCCAAGATAGTAGAGGCATCTCCTCAATTGAGTTTCTTTCTTCCCAGGTAACTTTACATCAAATTGACAAAAACTAACCAGCACACTGTGTAACTAGACAGACAGGTCTTTAAATAATGGAGAAAACATATTCTAGTCAGTAGAAAATACCATTCCCCAAAGGAAATTAATGATTTAACATGCTCTTCTACAGACAAATGTAGCTGAAGTTTTCTGTGGTCCTGCCCAGCCCCACAGACCCCGCAGCCACTTATAAAATAATCACTCAGAAGCTTATATTAATTAAAACTCCCCGGCCATTAGCTCAGGCCTACCACTGACTAGGTCTTACCCTTAAAACTCAGCACATTTCTGTTAATCTACATGTCGACACATATTCTGTGTGCCGTTACATGCTGTTCCCTGGAGGGCAGGCTGGCATCTGCACACTCAGTCTTCCTATTCCCAGAATTCTCCTTGTCTGTTTATCCCGCCTACACTTCCTGCCGGGGTACAGGCCAATCAGCATTTTATTTATCAACCAATCAGAGCAACACATTCACAGCATACAGAGCATCCCATAGCACCTCGGTGCCCAACGTGGGGCTCAAACCCAGAACCCTGGGATTAAGAGTCCCATACTCTACTGACTGAGCTAGCTGGATCATGGCTGCTGGTTCCATCCAACTCAGCTTCCCAACATGGCAGAGGTAATTCACCTCCAGTTCTGGGCCATGTGTACCATCAACCCATGGAAGCAGTGGATCTATGCCTCCATTAAAGAAGCAGGTAGCCCAGAAACCATTTTTTTTTTTTTTTGTACTAGCAAAAGCTATATCCACCATGCAGCATAGTGCGCAGCTTGGAGACACCTGGTTACTGTTTTGTTATATGTAATTTTACTATGTTAAAGTTAAAACTTTCCTTTTTAATTAAACAGAAAAGGGGAACTGCTGTAGGATAATGCTTTTGTACATTGGTTTAATAAAACACTGATTATCCAGTAGCCAGGCAGGAAGTATAGGCAGGGAGAGCAAGGAGAATGCTGGAAAAAGGAAGAGCAGAGTCAGGAGTCGCCAGCCAGACACAGAGGAAGCAAGGTATGAAGGCAGAACTGAAAAAAGGTACCAAGCCACATGGCTAAACATAGGTAAGAATTATGGGTTAATTTAAGTGTACGAGCTAGTCAGTAATAAGCCTGAGCAAATCGCCGAGCAGTTATAATTAATATTAAGCCTCAGTGTGATTATTTTATAAGCAGGCCACTGGACTGCAGGTGCCTGGCAGGACCTAAGAATCTTCTGGTATATAGACAAACTTTAAAATATTTGGTTGGCTACAGGGTTGCTGTGTTATGTTTTGTCTATTCCTAGTCTCTACAGAGCTTTTACACAAAATGATCTCAACAGGTCAGATGCCCCTTCTGTGTCCATAAAGACAGTCACATGATTTCTGCCTGACTCCATTTATGTGCTGCACTGTATGCATTGAATCGTATAATAGCCTATGTTTGCATCCTTGGAATGAAACCAACTTGATCAGTGTATGATGACCTTTGTGTTAATGAATTTGGTTTGCAAGTATTTTACTGATAATCTTTGAATCTGTACTAATCATACAAATTAATATGTAGTTTTTTTATGTTGTAATTGAGTACTTACCTGGTTTCAGTGTTAGGGTTATATCACCTTTACTAAATGACTCTGGAAGGACCCTCTTTTCTTTTATGGAGTAGTTTGAGGAACAGTGGCATTAGTTATTCTTAAAACCACAGAAGATCTGGCCAGAGATAAAACTAGTCATAGCCTTTCCTTTGCTGTTAAATTATTACTCTTGGCTTACTTTTGCTAATTCATATGTTTCTAGAAATTTATCCTTTTTTTTCACTATTTTCTTGTTCCCTGGAATTAATAATTTTTCTCTAATTATTTCAGTGGTATGTGTTATCGTATTTCTTTTTTATCTCTCATTAACTTGGGGTTTTTCTTGAGGCGGTTAGTTTGGCTATGAGCTTATCAGTCTTATATTTTTGCTTCTTCATTGTGGTTTGAATAGGTATGGCCCCCATAGACTCATGTGACTGAATGCTTGGCCCATAAGGAGTGGCACTATTAGGAGGTATGCCCATGTTGGAGGAAGTGTGACACTGTGGGGCGGCTTTGAGGTCTCCTATGCTTAAGCTACGCCCAGTATGACACACAGTCTCCTGCTGCCTGAGGATCAAGATGTAGACCTCTCAGCTCCTTCTCCAGCACCATGTTTGCCTGTACGCTGCCATATTTCCTGCAATGATGATAATAGACTAAACCTCTGAAAGTGTAAGCCACACAATTAAATGTTTTCCTTTCTAAGAGTTGCCATGGTCATGGTGTCTCTTCACAGCAATAGAACCCTAACTAAAACATTCATGTAGTTTCTAATCTCCATTTCATTTATCTCTGCTCTGATCTGTATTACCTCTTTCAGTATACTGATTTGAAACTTAAATTATTGTTGTTTTCCTTCTATAAACCTCAAAGTATGTTTTTTTCATAGCATTGCTTACTCAAAACATTAACTGTGGGTTTACTTTTCTGCCTCCTTTGCTGGACAATGAACAATTTAAGGACAGATTTCTTTTCCCTCTGTCTATCTAGGGCTTAGCAGTGCCTTCCTTACCATAAGTGCCTAGTATTTCATAAACAAACAAAATGAATGGCAGAACAAATTTTAGAGGTCCTTCTCTCATTTAATTCCATAAATTGTTAGGTAAATGCTGTCTTGATTTTTAAATTCTTTTTTAAAAAGCCAGTTAACAAAAAGGATAAATATCAGACCACAAAACAACTATGACTATGTACAGAATGAATATACATGAAAAATAACTTAAGAACAGTGGGTGGTGGTGCGTGCCTTTAATCTCAGCACTCTGGAGACAAAGGCAGGTAGATCTCTTGAGTTCAATACCAGCCTAGTCTATTCAGGGCTACACAGAAAAACCTTGTCTAAAAACAAAACAATAAAAACTTAAGACTTTCTAAGGATAAAAGGATGAAGATGATCATATTAGACTTTTCCAATGAAGGTTACAATATATAGGTCTTAATGAAACTGACAACCAGCATGTACTCACAGTGAGTACACTTTGACAACTAGGGAGTTACCAAGAAAAGTAATTAAAAGTAACTTTTAAAAAAACTGAAAAATGGGGTCCTTTTTAAGTTAAAACCAATGCTGTAACGTCAAAATCAACACTTAGCCTAAGCAATTCATATGACTCTAATGAGCATGCATTCCCAATGCATAAAAATAAATATTAACAAACACACATGTGCACTAAATATCAAACTATAAGATATCACTTATTTCCATATAACCAGAAACTAAAAATGTGGGGGGGTTTTGTTGTGTTTTTTTTTTTTTTGTTTGTTTGTTTGTTTTTGGTTTTTCAAGATAGGCTTTCTCTGTATAACAGTCCTGGCTGTCCTGGAACTGGTTTTGTAGACCAGGTTGACCTGGAACTTACTGAGATTCACTTGCCTCTGCCTTCCAAGTGCTGGGATTAAAGGCGTGTGCCAGCCGGGCGGTGGTGGCGCACGCCTTTAATCCCAGCACTCGGGAGGCAGAGGCAGGCGAATCTCTGTTAGTTCGAGGCCAGCCTGGTCTCCAAAGCGAGTTCCAGGGCAGGGGCTAAAGTTACACAGAGAAACCCTGTCTCGAAAAACAAAAAAAAAAAAAAAAAAAAAAGGCGTGTGCCACCACTGCCGAGCTAAAAATGTGGTTTTATAGCTTGAAAAATGTCAATAGCAAAGGTCGCAAACACACACAGAACAAAGCTGAAGACATTCATTCTCTGGCCTGTAACAGAAGTTTGTTGACCCTCATAAATGGCATTCTTTGGGTAACAAGCCTATAAGATTTCATCAAGTCATAAACAAAAATACTTCCCCTTCAGCCCATTCCTCAATGGTCAAGACTCTCTAATGGAAACAGTTCTTTTCCATTACTGATACCCTAATTTTATCTTCTATAAGTGACTGCAAGGTAAGAAAGGAAAGGTAGACTCTAGAAAAAAATAAGTAGAATTAGATCTTACTACTAAAATGTCCTAATCATCACACTAATCAATCTGAAATAATGTAAACTACTTAGAATCAGGTGGTGAACTTTCAAACACATCAGTATTTTCTTACCTTAAGTCCTTTTATGAAGTTTTGAATTGAGAAATCATGATATAAAAAGATGTTGGTCAGAACTTGTAATGCCTTTTTACTTATTTTAAAAGGAAACTGAGCTGTAAGCAGCAGCTGAAAGACAGAGGGACAGAAAACAGACACATCCATGATTTGTGCTAATCATGAGCACAAAGAATAAATAACAAGACAAAGAATGCTACTGTGGCACAAATATGAAAGCAATAGTAGCTACACATTTTCTTAGGTCAAATATCAGACAAATAGTAAACTTTATTTACTTCAGAGTCAAAAAGCAGTCCGGATGACAATCCCGGTGTGTTTGGAAGAGGATCTTACAAGGTAGCCCTGGCTGTCCTGAATTTGCTATGCATACCAGGTTGGGGGGGGGGGGGTCAGAGAGCTGCCTGCTGCCTCTCCCTCCCAAGCGCCACCACTCCCATCCTCAAACTCTATTCTGACCAAAGATGTCTATCAACGTCTGTTAAATCCTAATCTTCAAACAATACATATTAACAAAATAACCCTCTTCTTCACAACCAGAAGATACCAAAAAAAAAAAAAAGATGTACTTTCTTGTTACCAAATAAAACTTGTTTCTCTCCCTACTGATCCGAAATAGTGAACTGTAGCAAGCTATGTACTTACTGAACAAGAACATATGAAGAACAAAAATGATTTTTCTTTTTAAAAATATAGAGCAACTTGTATTATTTGGTTAGTTTTCAAAGAACTACATTAATGCTTTACATCTGAAAATCAAATGTTATACTAGGACTTTTTCCAAAAGTATAGTTGCACAAAGACAACTGCATTTGGCTATAATTAATCAATTTCAAACTGAAGGTTTTTCCCAATGTGTCAATAAATTAGAGTGCTATCTGTTGTGGAGAGATGTGCGGAAGTGGTTGGCAGATGACCACAGGGTTGTTACTGCTCACCTACAGACTATCAGGAAACACATCTTAATGGGATCCCCAATGAATCTGTGGCAGTCAATACTAACGAACCACACTGCTATTCACACAGGAACATCATGGAAGCTTAAGTCTCAGTTTAGCAGCTGTTGTCAGGAGCAACGTGACACTGTCAAAGTGCACACAATGACTGCAGGGCTGGAGAGATGGCTGCTCTTGCAGGACCAGGACTCCATTCTCCGCACCCACACAGTGGCTCACAATCGCCTGTAACCCCAGTTACAGATTCTAGGAATCTAACACCCTCTTCTGTGCACATACATCCATGAGGACAAAAGACTCACACAAGTAAAATAAAAATAAATCCTAACACCTTTAAACCATTTTATATAAAATACAAGGTCAAAACATACCAGTAATGGTCTGACATCCATACATTATGTAAAATTTTAGTTATTCCTTTTAGTACTAAGATGACTGAAATCCAGGGCTTGCCTTCCACATGGACAGACAAGTGTTCTATTTTTTTTTTTTTTTTTTTTTTTTGTGTGTGTGTGTGTGTCAGGGCCTTGCTCTTGCTAGGCAAGTAATTTACCCCCCAGGACCTCCAAGTGGCTCATTTCTCTAATTTCCATGAGCTCATCTCATTTCCATATTGTTCCTTCTTTTTTTTTTTTTTAAA